GGAAGATTATGTAAACTTGGGGAAACTGGTGAAGAAGACAAGAGGGAAAGAGAGAAGGAAGAAATAAAAAGAAATAGAACAAGAACAACAAAAACTAGAAATAATGGTCACATAAAAACAAGAACAATCAATGAAGAAAAAAAGGAAAGCAAAAATAAAATAAAAAGAAGGAAAACAATGTCCACTTCACAGTGTGTTTCTGCTGTCACTGGTAAATAAAGTGGGCAGACAGATCCATGTTAATTAACCCCAGCAAGCCAGGTATACATTTATGGCAGGGCAGTGAGCAACCCCAGCAAGCTTGCACCTTTAGTTCTACTGAAGTTCATTCAGGCTGACTGATTTCTGGCTGTGAGACTGAAACCTGTATTCACTCAGCCTGTAATACTCTGTATGCCTCCTGCTGGCTTGCATTTGGCTCCATGACCACCTGCTGATTTGAATTTAGTTCTACCATACCCTGACACTAGGACCTATGAGATAGAACTCACAGCTAGTCTTGAGTTCTGAGTTTAGTTGCCCCTCCCTATAATAGTTACAGGCCAATCATCCTCTCCTGGGGGGATGTCAACTCAGATAACTAACCAGCCACTGCAGTCTGAAAGTCTAAAACTTTGGTGGAAGCCTCTGGAATTGACCATAGTCACCATGTATCTGCAGGGTTGAGCTGCTCCTCTCATGCAGCGAATCACAGGTCAGGGAGAAAGCTGCTGCTTGCCACCTTCTTTTTCTACATTAAGGTCTCTCTTTGTTCTCCTCATGGGCTTCAATTTTCACTTCACATCCTTGCTGATTCCTGGGAATCTTCCTCACATCACTGTCAGGCATCTAGACTCCTTATCTCAGAGAAGCTGTTTCTGTGTTTACTACTCTACTATCCCTGAGCAATCCTAGCATGCAGTGGCTCCATTTTAAGTAATTGAGATGTAAACCTGAGGGGTAGTATCCTGGGATGAGTTTGGATTCAGCCAATTTTTTTGTCTTTTTGTAAGATTTTAAGAGTTGGAACCATGGGGCACTTGATTCATAAAATTCAGATTCCTACTCCAGGTTGACTACTTTGATTTAAAAACTGGAGGAAGGACAAGACTGACCCTTATAGTGCCTCATATATGCTTCACTTTTGGGGGAGAATTGTATGCTGATCCCCCGCCACTAGGACAACCTCCTCCCATTCATGAGGCAGAACTGTGTACAGTCAGAAGCTATCCATGCCTTTTGGACTTTCAGTCCTGCTGGTCACTTTCACCAGGAGCATGGTGCCTGGAAACAAGACCCTTGACCTTATATCAAAATGAAACAGCCCTTTGCCAGGTTCATGTTACCCAGTGTATTATGGATTATGGTTGCAAAGCAGCCATGTGGGGCCAGAGATGTAGCTCAGTGGCATAAGTGCCTGCCTGGCAAACACAAGGTCCTAAATTCAATTCTCAGTACAAAAAAGAAAAAAAAAGGCATGTGGACTTTCTGGGGTGCCAGACCTTATTTTTCTAGTTAGGATTTTGAAGGACTTTGGTCTGATAAGACTTTACTACTACTATTGCCAAAATTCATTTTATTCGCTCATTCATTCAGCAAATATTGATTGAGTTTTTGCTGTGAGCTTAGGTGGTGGGGATATAGCAGTGAGAAAACAGACAGACCAAAATCTTATATCTTGGGCTGGAGGTTTAGCTCAGTGGCATAAGTGCCTGATTGGCAATCGTGAAATCGTGAGTTCAATCCCCAGTACCAAAAAAAAAAAAAAAAAATCTTATATCCTAATGGAGAGATGACAACTGGGCATGGTGGCCCATGCTTGTAATCACAGCACTCAGGAGGCCGATGCAGGAGGATTGGTATAAATTCAAAACCAGCCTAGGCTGAATAGTGAGATGAAGGCCAGCTTGAACTACATAGTGAGAATCCATCTCAAACAAAACATCGTCCCCACCCCCAAAAAACCCAAAGAGATGACAATAAACCAATGAAACATTTAGAATACCAGAAGATGGGAAACGTAGGAGACAAACAGGGAGGGAGGGAGAGTACAAACAGTGTCAGGTATTTTCATTTTAAGGAAGCAGGCCTGGGGAAAGGTTAGGAAAAAAGCATTCATGCCCTGCTTAAAAGCTGATGTTCTGGCCTGGAGTTTAGCTCAGCAGAACAAGCACCTGCCTGGCAAGTGCAAGGTCATGAGTTCTCTGGTACCAATTCCCCCCCCGCCCCAAAACAAACCCTCATGTTTCTCCCAGAGCTCTGCCATCTGCCAGACAACCAACCAGTGTTCCCTCTGACTCAAGTATGAGTACAGCCAGATAGAAGTGATTGCTATTTGCAGAGCACTGTAACCTCCTACCTTCCAGGGCTCCCTCCAGGTTGCATCTAATCTGAAGCCTTCCCATCAATGAACTGGGCTCCTGCTAGGCTCCCTTAGGTAACGTGCACATAGCACCAAACCTGAGGAAGTCACCCTGCACACACTTGCTCAGTGTCATTTTGCAAAAGAAGCTTGGTCACCATTTGTTATTACTCATCTGGACATATCCGATACTCAGAAAGACTCAAAAAAATCAAGAAACAGAAAAGCCCCCAAAATATATCTTGGACTTTTTTTTTTTGGTTGGTTGGTTTGTTTTATGGGCAGTACTAGGGTTGAAACCCAGGGCCACCTGGGACATACTAGGCAAACACTCTTATCACTGACCCACATCCTCAGCTCTTTTTACATTTTATTTTGAGACAAATTCTCACTAAAGTTGCCCAGGTTAGCACTTGGAAGGCGGAGGCAGGGAGATTACTGAGAATTCAAGGCCAGCCTGGACTATATAGTGAGTTCAATGCCAGCCTGAACTGCATAGTGAGATCTTATGACAAACAAAACATCAAAAAGCACATAAAAGCAACAAAAAAGGGGGTTAAGGATATAACTCAGTGGTAGAGTGCTTGCTTAGTATGAGCAAGGCCCTGAGTTCAAGCCCCAGTACCACCACCACCACCAACAACAACAACAACAACAAAATAAAGCTACATGGTTTGGGCTTGAACTTGTGATATTCCTGCCTCAGCTTTCCAAGTGGCTGGGATTATACTCATGTGTCACCATTATTGACTTTCCTGAACTCTGTGTGTACGCATGTTCATGAAACAGGGTTTCACAATGTAGTTCCGACTGCTCTTGAAGTCACTGTGTAGCCCAGACTGGCTCTACCTCATGGCAGTCCTCCTGCCTCAGCTGCCCAAGTTTTGGGGTTACAGTCATGTGACACCATGCCCAGCTCTCATGAACTTTTTTTTTTAACCCACAGAATATCTTGGTAGATTGTTCCATGCACATACCTAGAGTCACTTCATTCCTTATAATTATTCCATAGCATTAATAAAATCAGTATGATAGCTCTAACTTGTCCCCTATTGATAGAGGTTTAGGATATTTTGATTCTTTTGCTAGTGTAACCAATGCTATAATGAACATCTTGAGTCTATTGCATTGCTAGGTCAAAAGGAATGTGCATTTACAGTCTGACATGTGACTGGTCAAGTTTCTCTGTAGTGAGACCCTGTCAGATTGCACTCCCCCAGTATAAAGTGCTTCACCAGCACATGTTGGAGTAATGATCTTTGCTAATGCCACGGGCAAAAAATGGTGTGTTTTTGTAGTTTATATTCCCCGTACGTTCCCCTGTTATCTGTGATATATGTTGCTCTTACTGGGATTTTTTTTTTTTCTTGAGATGGGGTCTTGCTATGTAGTTCAGACTGGCCTCAAACTCATTATTAAGCCCAGACTGACCTTGAACTCTTAGCAATCCTCCTGCCTCAGGAGGATTCTATGTGCTGGCATGTGCTATCTTGCCTGGATATAGTTAGATTTTTCTTGGTAATTTCTAGTGAATCTAGATTCCCTTTGTCTTGTTTTTAGGCACATCAACAGTTGTGTCCTTATTTATTTTCAAATTATACTAGTATTCAAATTGCTTTATTCCCCAGTGCAATAATACTAAGAACAGATATACTGATGAGTAATGGATTTCAGCAACTGTTTTCCAAAGATTATTTGGATGGTTTTGAAATACTCAGCATGGTTGAGACTTTTTTTTATAATTAGTTTTAAAATTTTATTGAAATTCAGGTTTAGAATTAGAAATTTAACACAATATTATTTTAAATATTTTCTAGTCAGTCTTTTCACTTGCTTTACATGATTCCTGGGTATAAGGTTTAAGAATTGATACACTCCAATTTTCCATGAGTTACCAATTATAAATTTGTTAAAATATTGAATACTTATCCACTTACTTTTGTTTCAATGTTAAAAGTTTGAAAAATCAGCTCAAGTATTTGAAAATTTAAGATGTGACTACTTGGCAACCATCATATAGAAAAAAATTGTGTAATCTTAGCTGTTTAAAACTCTTGTTAATGTTTATTGTAGTGATATGATATAAATTTTAATATAACCATATGAACTTCTCTTTAGAATGGTCAAGCATTTCCTACTGAAGCATCTTTAAGTTACAAAAATCTGTTACAAATGAACCTATACTGGCTAAATTCAAAAAGAAATAATGGCACTTTAGATAAGATATTTATTTTGTGGCATATTTCAAGTCCCTAAGGAAAACAGCCTCATCAGTAGATTCTGGTTGAGGTTTTTAACTGGCTAGTCTGACTGTCAGGCTAAGATGCAGTGAGATGCCAGGCAGTAATACCATGTGGCGTGAATGCAGGAAGAAGAGGATCTGAGGTCCAGAGCTGTGGAAGGAAGCCAGAACAGATGCCATAGTTGACTCTTATTTCCAGCAAGGAAGGGGTGACCAAACCTCAGTACCATCTCATCCAGCTGAGCACATTCTCTTGCTCCCTTGCAGTCACTTTGCTTCCTCTCAACCTGGAACCATTTGGTCCTTTCCTTTCACCCCAGCAGCTGAGCCTGAAAGTCTGGGAAGGAGGCCTCAGGAACTCCACACCTGCTCCAGTGCCAAGCAGTGTGAGCATGAGCTTGTCCTTCTGTCTTCCAGCTGCTGTTGGGTTTCTTGCGGTATCCAGTGTCATCACCATGTCTGCTCCTTTCTTCCTGGGGAAGATCATCGATGTCATCTATACAGACCCCACCTCAGACTATGGCGAGAGCCTGACCCGGCTCTGCCTGGGGCTCACCTGTGTGTTTCTGTGTGGAGCTGCTGCCAATGCCGTCCGTGTCTACCTCATGCAGTCCTCAGGTGAGGGGGCTGCTTGAGAAAATGTGGGGGACCGTGTGTTTGATTTGACCTCGGGGTTCATTGCCCAAAGCTCCTGTGTCTCCTGCATCACACCCGGTGGGGACAAATCCAAATTCATGGCTAGAGAAGGCAATATCCTAGACCAAACTCTCTCTTCTCATTTCTTCTCTTCCAAGGTCAGACTTGAACAGAGGGACAAACTCCAAATCTATCCTAACAGGAGACTTAAGGACAAGGACCTTGGCCAGAGGATGGAGTTCTGGGCTTCTTCAAGGAGTTACAGAAACCTCTCTGCTCTGTGCCTGTGTGGTGGGCTGAAATGGTAACTTTAGTGAAGCCTGTTGTTGGTGCTGGCAGAGCCAGGCACTGACTCTTAAGTCCTCTGTGTCTCATTTAGCAACTAAAATTCCCCCCGTGGATAATTTCCTAGTGTTTGCCATTGGAAATTTCAGTGCAAAAGAGGGTCTTCAGTGAGAAACAAAATTAGCTTGTAGAAATTTAAAGTAATAAAACTTCATAAATAATACTTTTAAGACATATCTTAGTCATGCTGAATTTTATTACTGTCTGCCTCTTTCATGCTCACTGTGTATATTTATTTTTTGTTTTGTCTTGTTTTGTTTTGTTGTCTTTTTTGTTTTTAGCAGTACCAGGGATTGAACTCACGACTGCCTGCTTGCAAGGCAGGTGCTTATGCCACTGAGCTAAATCCCCAGACCCTCACTGTGTATATTTATTAAAGCACGATTGTCAGTACACCAGGGTTTGATCATTCTGTCCATATTGGTAAGATCCATGCAGCAGAGGCTCAATGGCTCAGGAGAGCTGTAACATCAGGCCAGCAACTACATGTCGGGCACTGCCTTAGATGCTGTTGGCTGCTGTTCCTGCGATGAATGGGTTTCTTTGCTTTGCAGGTCAGCGAATTGTGAATAGGCTTCGGACCTCACTGTTCTCCTCCGTCCTGAGGCAGGAGGTTGCTTTCTTTGATAAGACTCGCACAGGAGAACTGATTAACCGCCTCTCATCTGACACTGCACTGCTAGGGCGCTCAGTGACTGAAAACCTCTCAGATGGGCTCAGGGCTGGAGCCCAGGCCTCAGTGGGTGTGGGCATGATGGTAAGTTGCCCTCTCCCTGGGAACCTCCCTTCTGGAGGGTGCATGGCCCAGGGAACTCTCCTCATGCACTGTCCTGAAAGCTATGGGGATGTGCGGGTGGCCTTGTCCTGCCCGGATTCCTTACCTACACCTCTCCAGAATGGGTATTAACTGAGCATATGTGAATCTGAAGTGAAGCAGCAGAGAGCAGCTGGTAGAACAGTCTTGCCAGGCTGAGGAGCAGGTGTCCTCTGTGGTGAGTGGCACAGCCCATTAGGACTACCCACGGCAGGGGCAAACTGCCCAGGCCACCCCTCCCCTTTGCTCTGCCTATAGGTTCCATAAATGACAAACTAAGACTAGCACAGGGTCCCCTCATGTCTTCACGTGGGAAGGAGACAGCAGTGCACATCAGCAACTGGCAGTGTGCTGCAGGCCATGTTAGTCTCGGTGCTTTGGACCCGGGAGTCTGTGCAGGACAAACAAAGCCACATCCTGCCACTCACCATGAAAGACACATCAGAGACATGACTGCTCCCAGGTATCCAGTGGGACTATGTGCCCAGCCTGGGCTTCTCCGGTGAGCACATGAGGCCTCTGTGTGCTTTGCTTGGTATCAAGGCCTCCCAAGGGCAGGGCATAGATAGGTTGTTCTCTCTCTTTTTCCTTGGTATATTATCGAACTCCTACTTCATGGTCTGATTGTCTCTCCATGCCCAAAGTGCATATTACAGGTGCTTGGTAATGATATGTGAGTGAGAAAATAGATGTCAAAGTCAGTTATGGTAGTACATGCCTGTAATCCCAATACTCAGAAGGCTGAGGCAGGACTGCAAATTTGAGGCTGGCTTGGTCTACGTAGTGAATGCAAAGCCAGCCTGAGCTAAATAGTGTCTCAAAAACAAAATAAATAAATAAAATAAACAGAAAGCCATTACTTTCAATTTTAGTCTACAGTGCTTCCTGAACATTTTATGAGACTTTATATTGATTACACTATTTTCTGTGCAAAAGACATAGGGAAGATTTTAATTAATATGTTGAAACCTTATATCATTTCAAACAATCTCCTAATTGGAAAGTTCATGGGGTCCCTCTGTTACACTGGAAGCTGATTATTCCCTGAGCCTCTGCAGCTGTGAAGAATTCCTCCACTCACTGGCCAGACCTGTGGCCCTGCTGGCCTCAGCCCACCAAACTGGGAGTCAGCTTGCACTCTCTCTACTGGCATTTCGTCAGTGCCTTCTTTTGAGACAAGAGCTTACTATGTAGTTCAGACTGGCCTTGAACTCCTGGTGATTGTCCAGTCTCAGCCTCCTGAGTCCTGGGATTATAGGTGTGTGCCACCACGCACACCCCTCAGCCCTCTTTTGACTCTTGTTTGATTCAGGGTTTTGGTGACTTCTATAACATAGTCATTTCAATGGGACACATTGTTCTGGTTATTTAGCTTCTCAAGGGGATTCAGATTCAAATGCCGAAGTCTTGGTGTGGTCTGGCCATTGTAGAGTAGATGGGCCTCCCTATCTGCTCTCTGCTATGAATAAGGTGGCCTAATATATAAAAAATTCATCTGAGGAGGAATCATTTTTTTGTCTTTTGTCAGGAGTACCCTGCCACATTACTCCTCTGTGGCAGGCTGCATGTTTGTGGGGTGTTACGATATCTGAGAAGTCCACCCACCCAGGAGGCATAGTTTGGGGCAGCGCTTTCCAGGCTATCTCGATGTACACACTAGGTGGTGAGGAGCTCTCACCACTCCACCTGACAAATACCTCTTGGCTTTTGTTCTTGACAGTTTTTTGTATCACCGAGTCTAGCCACCTTTGTTTTAAGTGTGGTGCCTCCGATGTCCATCCTAGCAGTGATTTATGGCCGATATCTGCGGAAACTGAGCAAAGCCACACAGGACTCACTGGCACAAGCCACACAGGTAACAGCCTCCCCATGCTGTGAGCTCCAGGAAAATGGGCTCAGAACCAGAGCTGTAGGCAGAGCTATGGGGTGTGTGAGCTTTTCTTAAAGCATTTCCTGCTTCGCGAGCTGGCACATCTCTGTGCCAGCTATACTGGGAAGCTGAGATAGGAAGATGGCAAGTTAAAGCCAGCATGGGAAACTAAGGACTGGTGACATAGCTCAGTGCTACCTGAGTTCGGCTCCTAGTACAAAAGAAGAAGAGATACCTTTCTTTCCTCATGTTAGGTTCCTAGGTCCTGGACATGAACTACTGTGCCTCTGGAATTGATTTCCACCACCCCCAATCCATTTTGACTCACCATTATATCAGTTTTTCCTTCTTACCATTCCTGTGACTGGTAGGACCAGAAAACTAGTATGTTTTAGAAATAGTTTCTGGATGGCACTGTATCCTTTGTTAATTCAGTAAAGCTAGCTTTGCAGTACTGTGCAGTAACACCTTTTTAAAAACTTAAAAATAATGGCTGAGGCTGCAGCTCAGTGGTAGAGCATAGGCCAAAGTTCAATCCTTGGCACAGCCAAAAATAAAAATTTAAAAGAGCATTTTTAAGAAACTAAAGATAGTTTAACATTTTTATGTCTTAAAAACCAGGCTTATCATTGGGAAATGTGAAAATATAATAAAAAAGGACAGAAATACAGATAATCCTGGATCAATTAATGTCATTAACATTTTGGAGTCTATCTCTGCATGACCATATATTTTTCTTTTTCTTCTTCTTTTTTTTTTGTACTGGGAAACAAACTTGCACTTGCCAGGTAGGCACTTATGCTGCTAAGCTATATCCCTACCCTGAACATATATTTCTTTTTGGTACCAGGAATTGAATTCAGGACCTCATACTTGTCAGGCAGGTGCTATGCCACTGAGCTATATCCCCGGCATAAACATTTATTTCTATCCCTGTTGTCCTGCTGTTACTGTTTCATCATTTGTATCTGTTTATCATGTATTCGTTTGCATCTATGTGATATGTGCAGATGTAGATACAGATTTTTTCACAGTAGGATTATTCTGTATGTTTTTTTTTTTTTTTTGGTACCAGGGATTGAATTTTTTTTCTTTCTTTTTTTTAATTCTGTATATCCTTTTGTACCTTTTCCTAACTTTAGTAGCATTTCTCCAATGGCTTTCCATTGATAGAGTTTTAAATGAGAATCACATTTTAATTTTGCTTCCAGATTGAAATGTGACCCCTCCCCCTGGTCATGTGTTTGTCACCCTCACAGCTGGCTGAGGAGCGTATTGGGAACATAAGAACTGTTCGAGCCTTTGGGAAAGAGATGACGGAGGTGGAGAAGTACAGTGGCAGAGTGGACCATGTGCTGCAGTTAGCAAGGAAGGAGGCCTTCGCTCGGGCCGGCTTCTTTGGAGCAGTACGTAGACTGTAGACCATTCTGCGGGGGATGGGAAGGGCAGATGCTGTGATGGTGAGACATCTTTATTCTGTGTCTTATCCCATAGTAGAAAATCATTTTATCCTACTTCAAGCTAAGAATGACTTAGTCATTGTTAGGAAAGCAAATAAATGGACTTAGGAAAGACGTTGTGTGTGATGAGGTCAGGGCTGTTTCCCAGGCTGGGTGCAGACAGCTGCACAGGGTACTGGGTCACCAAGAGTCCTTAGCTCCATTTAAAGCTCTGTGCCTGGAGCCTCAGTCTGTTTGGACAGAATGGCTCTTGGCTGTTCTGATGCAGGCAAATTTGAAATGTACTGAAGAGTAGCCAAAATAACTTCAGTGCAGTTCAAGAAAGAAGTAAAATAAGTTGATCAAAATGAGTTTAAATTGGGCATGGTGTCTCACACCTGTAATCCCAGCACTTGGGAGGCTTGAGGCAGGAAGATTGCTGCAAGTTTAAGGCCCTGTCTGGGTTACATAGTAAGTTCAAGGCCAGCCTGAACTGCATAGTGAAGCCCTGTTTAAAAAGAGCTCAAATAGGATACTGAAATAGAGATTGCCATGTGAGAAAATTCATGGTGTGGTCACACTGGACAAATTCTTAGAGATGATTTAGTTATTGCCACAATTAACCAGCTAGGAAGGAGTGGCCCAGAGAGGGTGGCATTTGCCAGAGTCCATGCACAGAGTCCCTGCCCCTCCTTGTGGAGTAGCACTGATCAGAACACGTGATGTGTGGAGCAGACTTCTGCTCTCCCTCTCGTCAGAGCAGATCCTTGAGGCTACTTTTTCCTTTGCAAGCAGAGTAGGCTGAGCAAGACAGGAACCCAGGGAGTGACTTAGTAGCTGAGTTTTCTTTTTTCTTTTTTTTAAAGTTCTCAATAAATGTTTATTATTGACAAGTTCAATTACACTTAAAGGCAGTGAGATTTAAGAGGAAAACAAAGACACCTGAAATATATTCACTATTTATCATTCAGGGAGATGCAGGTGCAATGTCAGATCTCAATTTAATCTTTGAAATATCTATAAATAAATACTATTACCTACTGTTTTGCAGACAACTTTTTTTTTCAGGGTGCTTACCAGGCAAGCACTTGAGTCACTGAGCTAAATCCCTAGCCCCCATTACCTGCTATTTTATAGATGTTATATAGCTTTAGGCATCATCTCTACTTTATTTTATTTATGTATATTTTTATTTTAAAGAGAACAAAACCAAACAAAATAACACAAAGTAAAGCCAATCAAAACAAAACAGCAAAAGTGATACAGGACCTCAAAACAGGATAAGGAAATCAGCCATTGCTACCATAATGCCTCTTGTTATCTTCAAAATTGAGCACCTGGGTTTTCGTGATGATGGGGTTCTTTTTCTCAATGTGGCAAGTATTTCAAAACTTGTATTTCAATCTCAGTTGGAATTTAATGTCCAGAAAAGGAAACCAGAGGCCTTGTTTATGCACTTTGCATCCTAAGAGCTTCTGATCCTGCTTTGATGTGTGTGTTTTCTCCCTTAACAGACAGGGCTCTCCGGGAACCTGATCGTGCTCTCCGTGTTGTACAAGGGAGGGCTGCTGATGGGCAGTGCTCACATGACCGTGGGCGAGCTCTCCGCCTTTCTCATGTACGCCTTCTGGGTTGGATTAAGCATTGGAGGTATATAATTGTTACAAATGAAGTTAAAAATGAAATATCAAGTTTTCATAAAATAAAGTTATGAGCAGAGTGAGCCATCTGTCTTGGGAAAGTCTGGTGTCTTCACAGCCTTGCTGGGATCAGTGTTTTCTAGCCTGCTGCTAAGTCAGCTGTCCACCTGCTCACAGATGTAGGGAGGAGGAGGATGCTGAGCCAGAGACATACAAACCCATGGTCCTTGGTAGTGAGTTTTGTAATTGGCAAATCATTGAGGAATAAAATTCCTTTTGTACAAAGTTAACCATACTCAAAACTAATGAATAATCAAAAATATTGACAAATTACAAAATGCATGAAACAAGAATTGCTTTTGTCAAGAATGTCTTATGCAAGGGAAAGGTTTTTCCTAATGTAGTGCTGGCTACTCAGGAGGATCTTTGTAACCCAAAAGTTCCAGACCAGCCCAGCTACACAGTGAAGACCCAGGTAGAAAAATAGCCTCTCAGAGTTTAGCTTTGTCATCTATTCCTGGGTAAGGGGAAGGAAGGAAGGTCATGAACTAGAGTTGTGTGAGGTCTGTGAAGTGTTTTTCTGCCCCTTCCAGATGTCTCCAGCCATCCTGGTGAATTATTTCCTGCCTTTTGTTTTCTTTATGGTCTTTGAGATAGAAAGGGGAGGGAAAGAGACAGCTGAGGTCCAATTAGGACATTGGGTACTGAAGTGTCCACTCTCTTGGAGAGACTTATTTTTGGGTTTTGGTCTGATTGTTGAAGGGAAAGGTTTTTCCTAACAGCATTTTGGTTCTACCTTTTGGAGAGAATCCTGGTTCAGATGCTGTGGGGTGTGAGTAATCATATATTGCCCTTTTCTCTTTATCCCTGGTTAGCCAGTGGGCTGGGCTCCATGCCACTGTGGTACTGCTCCTCAGGTTCTTCCTGTCCTGCCTTTGTGTGGACAGGTCACCTCCATTCCCTCTAGGGGTGTCTGTTCACATTCCATGCTTGACAGCTTTTTTCTTTGTCTCCTCCATCAAGTCTTGTGTTTTCTGCCACATTTGACATCATCATTCTTAATCCTTCCTCTGCCCAGCCCCATACTATGACACCTTAGATGTGTTTCTGTTTTGGGTTGTTTTGTTCTCCTCCATCCACAGAATCAAATGCACAGATGTACCTTGCACAGGTCAGAGTGGAGTACACTGGTTTAGTCCGGGCAGTCAGCTACCTCTCCTACTTGCCAAGGGTGCTTCAGAGATTGTACATGTCGAGGCCAAATATGCAGAGACTGTGCATGCTGGGATATAAATAATTACAGCTCTGTCCTGCATCTGCCACTGAGAGAGGAGGAGGAGGAGAAGGACCTAGACCAGTGTCCTTCTGTCACAAGCTGTTTCTTTTTCCACAGCCTGATAGGCACTGACTAGAATAGGAATTAACATTATACACTGAACTGAATTTTAAAATCTTTAGTGTTTTAATTAAAATTAAAAAAATTTTTTTTGTTTTTTTTTTTGAGATAGGGTCTCACTTTGTAGTGTAGGCTGACCTGGAACTCATTGTCTGGGCTTGAATTTATGGTGATCCTCTTGGTTCAGCTTCCAAGTGCTGGGGTTACAGGCATGTCTCTTCACAACCTGGCTAAACTCTTTACTATGTTAAAGTAGCTCCAACTCTGTCTCCACTTCTACCATTTTTCCTTTTCTTTCTTATTCTTTTTTTTTTAATGTTATGATCAGTTTATGTAAGTCCGGTGATGAAAACTTTCAGGAGAATATCTTGAAAATTATTTTTTTCTTAGAAAAAAGGAAAGGAAAATTAAAACCCTGTCAGCATAGCCAAGATATTGTGGTAGTCAAGCCTGTCTGGAGATGGAGATGGTCCATTAGTCTGTTAAGAGCTCTTTGTTTTTTGGTTTTTAGAGACAGAGTCTCTCTATGTAGTACAGGCTGGCCTTGAACTCACTGTGCAGTCCACGTTGGTCTCAAACTTGCAGTGATTCCAACTGCCTCAGCCTCCCAAATGCTGGGATTATAGATGTGCACTACCTTGCCTTGCTCATTGAATTTTTCTTGCACAGCTATAATTAGAGTAAAAGCCATGATGATACTGAGATTTTCTTCAGTCTTACATTTTCTTAGGACACAGTAGATTATTGTCACATTTTTTATTATTGTCACTTTTTTTTTGTACCAGGAATCTATCTCATAAGTTTGCCCTTTGCAGCATGCTGAGCTATATTCCCAGCCCTTGCAATGCTTATCATTTTAAGATGTGGTAACATTATTGTCTAGATTTTCCAGGGAGAGTATTTCATAAAGGACAGCTTCAGCTGGGTATTTTCCACTACATGTAAAGGTGAGGGTAGTCTAGACAGTTTTGTCATTTTCTTCAGCCTCAGATGTCAAAGTAACAGGAAAGTAACAGGGTTTATTTATTTTTTTATTTTTTTTATTTTTGGTACTGAGGTTTGAACTCATGACCTCACGCCTGCTAGGTAGGTGCTTAAGCTGCTGAGCTAAATCCCAGGCCCAATATTTTTTTTTTTTTTTTAATAATAGCAGGTCATTGCACTTTCAAGCTCCTCTTCATTCATCCCCTTACCATCCACTGTCCTGATGAAAGAGAACATGAACAGGACTAGAGCTATCAGGAGAAGATGAGAGACTGCCTGTGAAGGACTTGGAGCAGGTGGACTCCAGAGCTACCAATAAAGCCTACAAGGCAACTGTGCCAACTGTCAGCTGTCCCTTTTGAAAACTAATATTTATTTTTAAAAGCATTTTACTTTCACAGCAAAACAGTGAAAGGCACAAAGATTTTCCAAGTTATCATTGCCCCCACACTTACACAGCCTGCCCTCTATCTATGAGAGTGGTGCATCGATTACATAGTTGTTAAGCCTGCACTGACACACTGTTGTCAACCAAAGTCCATAGGTCATGTTAGGGTTCAATCTTACTGTTGTACATTTTGTAGGTTTGGACAAATGTATATTGATGTGGATCCACTGTTACAGTATCTGGCCATTTTGTTTTGGTTTTTTTTTTTTGTTGTTGTTGTTTTGTTTTGTTTTTGAGACAGGGTCTGGGCTGTGAAGTATAGGATGGTCTCAAACTCATAGCAGTCCTCCTGCCTTAGCATCCTGGTACTGAGAATACAGGTGTATATCACCATGCCTAGCAATAATATCATAGAATAGTTTTTCTACCCTAAAAATGCCTGAGGTCAGCCTATTTACCCCTTCCCCAACCCCTGGCAACCTCTGAACTTTTTTTTGAGACCAACTCACTATGTAATTCAGGCTGCTGTTGAACTCACTGTGTAGCTCAGAATGGCCTCAAACTCATGGCAGTTCTCTTGCTAAACCTCCAAAGTGCTGGGATTACAGGCATGCACCTGAGCCAACCACTGACCTTCTGTTCTTTCCAGTTTTGTCTTTCCCAGAATTATACAGTGTTTAATCTTTTCTGATTGTATTCTTTAGTGATATCCATTCTTCTGTGTCTCCCATGACTTGACGTCTTGTTTCTTTGAACCATAAATAATGTTCCACTGCCTAGATGTATCACTGTTAACTGTTTACTTTCTGACACACATCAGGTATAGGCATTTATGATAAAGCTGCCATAAACTTCCTTGTGCAGGACTTTTGTGGATACTAGCTTTGGGTAAATACCAAGGACTGAGATTGCTAGAAAGGATAGCAGCAATTTGCTCAGTTTTATAAGAGATTATAAAACTGCCTTCTAAAGTGGCTGCTATTCACATTCCTCCCAGTGATGAATAAGATTTTCTGTTCTCCACTTTCTCATCATCATATGGTATCATCAGCGGTAGTGGTGTGTGGTGGTGTTTCATTGTTTTAATTTATATTTCTCTAATAAATTCTGATGTGAGCATCTTTTCATGTGCTGATTTGCCATCTATACGTGTTTGCGAGGCATCTGTTGAAATTTTTGCAGTTTCTTATGTTGAATTTTAAGAGTTCCTTGTATACAGGTGCTCCTCAACTTGTGATGGGGTTATGTCCCCGCAAATGCACTGTAAGTTGAAAGTACCATTAGATGGAATGCATTTAGTACCCTTAGCCTGCCACATATCTTGGCTCTGCAGCACAGTGCAACATAGTGCTTGTTATTCTCTCATGATTGTGTGGCTGATGGAAGCTGCCACTGCCCAGCATCCTGAGAAAGTGTCACACCACAAAGTGCTGGCCCAAAATAGGACCCAAAGCAAAATTTGAAGTATGATTTCTACTGAGGGCAACTTTTGGACCTTTAAAAGTAAAAAAATCATAAGTCAAATCATCATAAATTAGGGACCATCTGTTTGTGAATGGAAGTCTTTTATCAGATACATCTTTCAGATACTTTCTCCCAGTCTATGATTTTAGAAAGCAGAAAACTTCAATTTTGATGAAATGAACTTTTCTTTCTTTGGTGGCCTGTATGTTTGGTGTTGTGTTTGAAAAGTCATTGCCATATACAAGGTCATGTAAATTCTTTCCTGTTATCTTCTAGGAGTTCATAGTATCGCATTTACTTTTTTTTTTTTTGGTGCCGGGATCAAACTCACGACCTTGCACTTGCCAGTTTGGTGCTTATACCAGTGAGCTAAATCTCCAGCCCCTGCATTTACATTTAAGTTTATGATTTTTTTTCAAGACAAGGTTTAACTGTGCAGTGCAGACTAGCCATGGACTCACCATGTAACTCCACAGTAGTAGCCTCATACTTGTGGCAATCCTCATACCTCAGCCTCCCAAGTGTACATTACAGTGTTCACCTTATGTTTCATGTTTTTTCTTTATTCATTTGTTTTGGAATTTAATTTTTTAAGAGCATAAAACCAAACAAAATAAAACAGAACAAAGCCAATCAAAACAAAACAAAACAAAACAGTGAAAGTGATACAGCACTTTAAAACAAGATGATAGGGAGTTAACATGGCTACCACCTACCTTTTTTAGACATTTCCTTCCCTTTCACTTTCATAGTATCTAGTGTACATTTTGGATCCCAC